TAAACACATTTTGAGGTTGATCGTCAAAGGAGATCTATATAGTCAAATTCACATGATACTGAAATCTGTTAGAGCATCAAAACATACCTCGTACATCCTCAAGGGACTGACCGTTATGTTTTAATCATTTGCAGACCCAATCAAACAGTGATTTTCGATAATATGTTTCGACATTCCATGCAACACATTACATACATGAAGACAATGTACTTATGACAATAAATTGATTTTAATACCTCGTAGTTCGGCTTTCATTTAAGGGAAAAGATATAAAAATTGAGTAGTAAAATATCAGGGGAGTATAGAGAATAAGAAACATACTGTAAAACTTGTTTATTTACATGAAGTTTGGGATGCATGCGCCGGAGCGATGTTATGATGTACATGTAGGATGATTTGTTGATTTTATCCGTGTGTTTTCGTTTCATCGCTCTACGGAAATGTTGACTCAAATTCTGCATAAAATGTATAACGAATAGGTTTGCTCACACTCAAATATAAGTTAATTCCATTAGAAACCATTAGAAATACGACTTTTTTAAATTTCAATAAGATTTTTTGTGATTACTGACCTATTTAAAGCACGGTGCCTACTTAGAAATGGAAAATAAAATCTACTTCTAATACGAGTTGATGACAAGTTTTTTTTAAACGGCGAATTTGGTGCTAACAAAACAGACGATTCTTTTCAAATATTGATACCATGTTTTCATCTACAGTCATTATGTTACATTGTATTTAATAAAGTTTGCACCTAATGTGTTGTATAAGCAGCATCTACACGATATTGTTTCTGTACACATCTAACAGTTTGAAATCTGTCGAGCTGCAATCATTCGCAACTTTTTCTTTGAGGTTCGATTTACATTTCATTAGGATAAATATTTTTTTTACACTCAAGAAGAGTTTTGGCGCGCCCGACGTGTTTTTTCTTTTCGATATTACGTCACTTTTCTAGGGCTTCACTCCGTGAACGGCACTCCCCCTGGTATTTTTTTGTATTTAATAACAGGTGTACCTTTTTATGTCGTTCATACTCTGAGTCGTAATGTTAAAATCTAATGTCCAAATTCATAACTTGATTATTTAAAAAGCTATTTATTTGTTAATTATAAGAATGATTTAATGTTAATGTGACTATTTATTTTAATGCACTTGTTACGATATATAGTAACAAATTCGCCTATGATTTACATTGATTTAAGTGTCATGTGACATTTATGAGCTTGCAGTCCAGGCCGAAAACTCGTAATCATTATCGGCCCGCTGAACACGAGTAAGTGAACTTGTAAACTAAAACAATGACGTCACATTTCACGTCATCAAAACAACTGTTAAAGTCAAAGAAGGTTTAAAGCATGAAATGTTTGATTCTGTGACAAAGCTTAAAGGAACTCCACTGAGGTCCAACAGCCTAAAATAATGAATTTTGAAATTCTTTCTAAATCAACTAGTACATTTGAATTTGAAACCAAGCAATAGATGATATATAAATATACACGGTATTAAATTGATAATCGATTGTATGCAATTTATGGCCGGTTTGAGTGAAAAGCGTTTAAACGGTTTTCATTTATTGGGCCAATTTTCACAACAAAATTGATTATTTCTGGGAAACAGAGTAAGAGCGAATGATTTGAAATTTTGTACACGAGTTATTGGTCTAGACATACATCTAGTTATACAAAAATCTTGAAAAAAATATTTTTGGTCCCTTCACGTCAAAAAACCTCAGTGGAGTCCCTTTAAGCGTGTTTTGTACAAACACAGTTTCATTCAAATATAAGAACAATAAAAAGTACTACAACTTCAATCCGAGAAAATGAAAATAAAACTTCCTTCGTGATTCTTGTGTACTTCGTATTCACATAAGAGACGCATCTCTGTCGTAGTAACTGTACAATAGAACTTTACATAGCTTTAAATAGTTGTGAAACTTTGTGAATCTACTCTTATCCTATTAAATATGTTACTTTGTAAATTTATTACTGGAAACACGTTTTTTAAACTTTATTTTCTGTTTTCGAATTTTACAATTGTTATGTCTTAGGCATACATATAGATATCGATAAGTGTGATATTTTTATGTATTATATTAAATGGAAAGTACGAACATGTAATTTTTTTATTTCGTATTTTTTCATGTTAGGTTAATTGTTTATATCTATATGTAAACGTGTTATCTTCGATTAAAAGATACAGTATAAAATGCTAGGCATACAAGTTCGCATTTTCAAAAGAAGTTTTCAAACGGAACACTTTACATGTCTGGAACTTTGGCAACGAATGCCTTCCGTAAATAGTTTGCTCTTTAATTATTTAATTTTTGTTAACATTTGAACGTTTCAGATGATCGTCTCAGACTTTATCATTTTATTTAAATGCAGATGATGAAAAAAATACATGCAGCCAAGCAGAAGTACGTACACTCTATCGAAACAACGCCCGCAATTTATCTCAGATGTTATTCTTTTTGGATTATTCTTTCCAATAAATTGGTGTTGCGAACAACATTACACTAAAGCCAAGCGGGAAAGTTGTTACACTTTTTATTTTTTATTACGCCCAGACACAGTAAAACCGATTTTTTCGTAATACATGTAAATAAAGTTAACATTAATAACAGTAAGTACTGTTTTTTTTATATCACAAAATTTCAAGAAATATGTCAGCACAAATCGTTGAAATTTACCCTGGATGTGCTACATGTTCGGTGATTCTCTCATTTATCTTCACTCTTTCAGAAAATTTACTTACTTGATAACAAATGCATATTGTCATCATAGAATATACAGAAATATATCAATACTAATGTTTATTAGAATAACAAACTTTATAATAGAACTGACAATAACTTCAGTTTTGTAAGAAACATGATCGACAATCTAAACGGAATCATGAATGATATTATGTAAATTGTTGCCTTTACATTTTGTTACAACTATGTAGGGAGATCAATTAAATGTACATGAAAATGTCACAGCTGTTCCAATGTCAGGATTATCCGAAGATATGTCCATTGGAATTCCAGACTGACATTCTTTTTTAGCCGTGCTCCGAGCTGATTCGATATCTTCACTTGATGTTGTTGCTGAGTATATACCAAGGCTTGGTGAGCTTGCAGTAGGAGCATAAAATACAAATATTGCTTCGTTTTGTGGTTCCGGATTTATCTCAGAAAACTTGCTTATAAGTTCTTCACTATAGCTTTCAATAGCACATGCAGTTGGTATTGAACTTATATATTGAATTTCTACTTTTGTATTATCAAAATCATTATTAGAGTGCTCTTCGTTAAATGTTCCGCTGCATTTATACTCCAAACAGACAGACGATGAATTTGACATATGCGTTTCCCTGATACCTAATATTTCATTTGATATGTTTTTGTTTGTTCCCCCATACGAAGTCACACGAACTTTTATGTTTTTATGTGTATTAAGTATAGACTTAATCTTCACAAAACATACTCGATGTCCCTCTTGTCTTTTTGGATACCAGACCCTTTGACTCACTACTTTAACAGCGTTTGCGTCATATGAGCTTAAATCATTGAAATGTCTAAATGTGTAAACATCTTCTAAAGTATTCTGGAAATGAAATTTAAAATGGTTTCCATCTTGTGTATTTGTGATACAAGAATGATGAGTTTCAAAAAATGGTCCATTTGAACTTATTTTGAATTTTAATTCTAAATGAGGATCAGATGAACTTGCGGAATAGCTGATTAATTGTTGTTGTGCAAAAGATAATCCTATTTTTGTGTTATCAGATTGGTATGCAGGCAAAAGGTATTCAGCTGTGTTTTTCTCAAAATTACTTATCCAGACTTCAATAAAACCATTCGTTTCATCGCAGATCGTTTTAAAACATGTCCTACTTGTACTAAATGTATGGCCGTATGTTTCAAATGCTTGATGGCCATCAATATGCAATGCTTGGATAAACAATTGATATTTGCTGTTTGTTATTTCAGATAAATGATTATAATCTTCATAAATGCGGATATTGAAAAAACATTCCTTTTTTAAATGTATGTATGTTCCAATGTTTATGTATGATTTAAAATCAAGTTCATTTAACTGAGCAGGTAATTCATCACTTACTGGAAACCAAAGTCCGTTCGATGTTTGTAGAGCAAATAAATTTACCGGCGGTTCGATCGTTTCCTTTGAAACAAAGCTAATTTGTTTACCAATTTTCAAAACATTAAGTGCAGTGTCATAAAAGGCTAACCGAAAAGCTCCAATAGAAGTAATATGAACCTTTTCTCCATTTTGATTAACAGAATAAAGCATTCCAGGCATGATGTCCAGTTCAGGTACATCTGTAGCATTTAGAAACGTTAAATATACTTTTACAATGCCATCAAATATATTAAGGGAACTGTCAATGAATGAATAAGCTGAAACATTCATTATAAGCAGGGAGTTGGTCATGTCAATACCTTGTTCGCATTTTTCTATATCAATTATATTATACTCCGTAGCATTTAATTCGAACGTACATGTTTCCCTCGCAATATACATATTTGTGTAAATTGTCCCCGTTGTTCCTTCTGAAACATCAATTACGTTTGTTGTTTGGTATTTGTTGCTAATGACAGTAATAACAGTGAACCCTAAAAGTTTATCAACCCAAAAAACGTTTAAAAATTTTTTTGTTGGGTAAGTTTTAAAAAACCATTTAAGTAAAACCCGAATTTAAAAAATTCGTTTGTTCCGTAGTATAAAGTACCTACAATTCGTAAATCGTCAAAAACTACATTTCCCAAAGGGGGGGCTTTGACACTTAGAAAGACAAAATTTTTCCTCCCCAAAAAACAGTATTGGGTTAAAATTTGCCCATGGAAACCCAAATTTTGATTTTTTAAACAAAGAAAAATGTCCAGATTCAATAAGGTCGGGGCTTCTACAAAACTGTCTATTTGCAAAAAAACTTCGTAAAGAAAGCTGTATTGAATTTGGGTTTTATACATCTTGGCAAAAATAAATTTTTTTTGCCCCAGAGTAAATTCGCAAAAAATTTTAACCAAGGGGAAATTCAATTTAAAAAAAATAAAAATTAAAAAGTATAAGAGAAAAGGGTAAATTTTTGTGATTTTATAACAACTTTATATGTAAAAAAACATATTTTATTAAAAATTTAAAATTTGATAAGGGAGGGGTAAAACTATAAACTTTTTTATTTGCTAAGTTTTTTTGTTTTTACATTCGATTAAAGTTTTAAAAAAACTGTTGGAAATACCCCCAAAATTTGGAAAATTTTCCTTCAAGTAAAACCGGGGCCCTTTTTTTTTATTTTAAAGATGAATTTTAAGTAAATGTATTTTATTGTATCCCAATGAATGAACAATTTTTTATTTATATACCTTTTTTAAAAGTAGTTTGCTTCCTCAATCAAAACTTCCAGGGATTTAGAGTTCGCCCCAATCTATAATATCCCGATTAGATCGGAAAAATTGGCTGGGGTAATGTTCGCCATAAAAAGGAAAAAAATGGGTTTATTTTAGAAACAATTTTCCTGTTCCTGAAAATAGGCAAAATGACAACAATATCAATATAAATAATAAACAATATCAAAATAAGCAATTTTTTGCTTAGAAAATTTTGATAGAACCTCTTTTAAAAAAATGATTTTATAGTATTTTAAAATTTTTTATGCATTCATGTTTTGAAATTTTATAATAACTTAATAAAACTTTTGGATTTTTTAAATTATAAAAGAGTTTAAAAATAGAGTGTTATACCCATCATAATTATGACATTTGGGATGCATTGATGATGAGCAACAAGAGTAAAAATTTATCATTCCCTTCTATCTAGTTTTATTGGGGCTGTACCATTAAAATTCCTGGGTTTTTTTTGATAATGAAAGAAAATAGAAATAACAGAAGTGCGATATTTTTTCTAAATTTAATGGTAGAAGTGTTTTGTTTTTAAAACATGTTTGTTTAGGTTTCAAGATCAAAATTATTATTTTATTCTATCATTATTATTTTTTATATTTATTATTATTATTATTATTATTATTATTATTATTATTATTATAAACATTGTTATTATTATTATTATTATTATTATTATTATTATTATTATTATTATTATTATTATTATAACAACGTTACAAGGTGTTGGGATCCTCCTGGGCTCCTTGCCACTGGCTCTTGTTACTGAGTCGGGTGGGGTTGCGTTCATTGTTTATCATATTTTACATATTTGAATAGCTTTAGAATTCGTAAATGTCATACCATTTTTTGTTGACATTGCAAATTATTTCCTCAGGCTGACTTGACAAGCAGATGTAGAATATCCTGATTTTTCGACGTAAATACTAGCATCATCACAAACGACATCTGTTGAAAACATTCCAAAATCTTCAGAGTATGCAATAGCTCTGAACTGACTTCCGTTTATAAAAATAGCAGCGTCAGATACAGTGTCATTCATCGTTGTTTTAACATATCCTTGTCTTGTCTTGTTACACAAACACTCGTCGCAAGTTTGGGTTAGCTCGCCTTCATTACATATAATCGAACAATCTGGAATAACACAAGAAACCGGTATTTTGAACTTTTAAACATATTACCTGCAATATTAATTGAGCGTTATATTTTGTATTTTATTAGAAATATCGGAAGACTTTTATATTTTTCTGGTCCTTCGGGATCATTGATGGCAGCACTATTAAGTGTTGAGAATTGAGTACTGCTCAAGCCGGTGCTAGGGAGCGTGAGGGATGTTGCACTTATTCATTATCCCTCATGTACAGATTCAATCAAACCGAGGGATCACTTTGTTAACAGATTTTTAATAAACTAAAATATCAATATGACATGAAATCGTTGATTTAGGGTCACAATGTCAATCATTTAAAATGCTTAGAAATACCTGGACAGTTCCAAACGGAGCATTGTCGTTGTTGTAAACTGTCTCCAACACAATTCAATGCAGAAACAGTTTTATTACAGGTTCTTAAACGGGACTGAGTACCTCCGCTGCAAGTGACATCACAGTCATTCCATGACGACCATAGTGTCCATAACCCATATTCTGCTTACAATAATACATTTGATACACATTTCACACATACTTTAAAATATAAAATGAAATTGATTGACGACATTTTACGATATCATTGTGTTTTTATGGCTATACACACTATACAAAGCTATTAAAACCACTTATAAGCCGGAAAGTTCTGCAATTATAGCTGAACAAATAAGCATATGAAAATACAATATATCTAAATACTAGCAGACGACATGTACATATACATGAAGATCTACATTAAAATATATATTCAGCAATTCAAAAATAAGTGTTATATGTGACTTGTCATATATTTACAGTGGTTAAGAAATAGTACTGTTTAATTTGTACATCACTTATATTAAGCAAATATGCATAACTGAATAATTTATACTGTCCAGATCATAGTAATCTATTTGTCTTTTCAGCTACTTAAAGCATTGAAATGTTAACACATTTATTCTAAAAATAAAATTCACAATTAAATCACCTGGACAAATTGTATTTACACAACTTTTTACTTCGACATAATTCCCTGAGCAAACTGTATTTTGAAAGTCCGATTTGTCGCATTCACGATATCGAAGATGAATTCCATTTCCACAGGTGGCGCTGCAGTCTGTCCACGTTCCCCATTGTAACCATATGCCTAAATGTTTATATAGGAGAAAATTATATGAGAAATATAATATTATCTTTTTCACTTAATTGATTGAGTAGTGTTTGTGTGTGCGTGTGTGCGCGTGTGTGTATGTGTGTGATGAACATATTTCCTGAATTCTGGTTTTGATTCATTCTGATTGTAATTTACACTAACTTTGTCAATAGATTCAGTGACAGTTCTTAAATTACAAAAATTGTTCATACAGTTTTTATTTCAGATTCTATTAAAACAAATTATCTTAAAACAGTTATTACGATTTTAAGTAAAAAATTATAGTTCATAACACTAAGGAATAGATAAGAGATTAATCCGCACACGTTTCGAAATAATTAATCATTTATTTTGGCTTCCTATTATGCTTCACTTTCACTATCTAATTGATATGCTTTAGTCTTTCAAATCATATGATTCAACACTGTATCGGCATTTAATTCAATTTATTTTCTTTATGTTTAGATTTGATAGATATTTTATATTGTACAATGTAGTACTAAGTAAATGTAAATGACCATGTCGTTTCGTCTTAGGTTACTAAATAGTAACTTTCCCGACTTTACCTTTGCGTACATTTTTTCTAGTATTGATTTTAAGTTTTTGTTTTCTTTTTAAAGAACTTTAACGGGGGTACAAACAATATATAATTTATAAGTCGTGACTAATTTGAAACGCATATCCGTTACATTAGAGCGATTGGATACTGTATTTTATAACATTGTAAACAAAGTTAACAAAATGCATTATTACTTAAAACATTAAGTTTGAGCTAAACACATAACGTGTATTTAAGATATTGTTTGAGACATTTTATACAATGTAAAAAGCATTTACAACTTTGATCAATTCGACTTCTTTACGCATAATATCCTATTGTTTTCAATAACAGACAAGGAAGTGATGTGATCTAATTATTGCATTCAATGTGAATTCCCCTGCAAAGTTATGACTGAAATGTTCAATTTAAAATTATGAGACAAAAACATCTTCTCTCTCTAAAACAAAAGAAGCATTGTTCATAGATATGCGCCAATTGGCAAATTAGCAAGATTAAAATAAATTGGAATTTATCTATTGCGGCCAAGGTGAAATACCCTTGCAAAGATATAACAGAAATGTTATTTTTAAAGATGAAAGACATAGGTTCTCGCTCCAGAACAATAAGCACTGATGATAGATTTGCGTCATTGGCAAATAAGCAAGGTTAGAATCAGATACTCAAACACTGATATTCAAATGTAATGTACAAGTGACAAAAATCATAAATGTGTGTTTTAAAATTCTGGTTAGGAAAAACAATTAATTGATAATTGCTGACACGGTTTTATTGAGGGTTTTCATTAGATGTTATAGAAAGTGTATTGCCTCTCATTGAAATCAGTTCTAATTTAAGTAGCATACAATCCTCCTCAACACTAAAAAGTATTGGAACCAACGGTCCAAAAAAAATGTTCGGACAAGTAATCTTGTCGTTTTAATGACGAAGCATTTTCTACATAATTGAATGAAAAACGTAAACAAAAGACTCTCCATTTCATTTAAACAAATCCCGAAAGTATTTTAAATTACTGTTAAAGTGGCCCTCAGTTTATATTTTCTGTTGAGAAAGCAATTCATTATTGTTTCAAAGTAAGTATAATATACTTAAGGACAATGAAAACGCACGCCCGCACTTTATGCATTTTATTACATGAAAACAAAACACTAACGACTCCATTAGATATATATCATAACTTTATACAAAACGCAAACTTAACAACTGAAAATAATTCAATTTTTTTTAAATTAAATGTACACCAGTAAATCGAAGAACCTGAGGTGAAAATCCCAAAATCACACTTTTTCATCACAGTAATGCAACCTTAACAAAGGAAAAACCCAAAATGAAAATCTAAAACAAAGTCACTCATAAATGTCTATTCGTAATATGTCACCGTCGGGATCTTTAGAAACGACAATGTCCCCTATCAGCGTCTCTTACAGATGTACATCGTCGCCTCAAAGACCTTACGGTGCGGATAGTCGCCTGTGGAATCTGACGCCATTCGGCCTGTAGTGTAGTGCGAAAACGCTAGTGAAGCCGAGAAATTGTAGACCGATGGACACCAAAACGGTTGGCGCTTTGTTTGTAAGATAGACCAGACGGAATCTGTTTTAAATCTACCCAGCGGTTATTTCTTTGCAGAACCATTGCATACAATTTTCTAGCTAGTCTTCAGTAGTGTTTGAAATTAAGCACCTAGAGGAAAAGTGTGTTTATGCAATTTGCATGTGAGCTTTTATGATTTCTAAAACTGGCCATTGGCATAGTTTAATATTCATTTTCAGAAAGATTTTAATTGCTCATTTGTATCTAACATTGCTAGAAAGGTGTGAAAACAAGTAAATAATTAACAGTTTAAAAAAATAAATAATTTCATTTCATAAAGTAACCATGAATTGGTTCAATCTGTTTTCTGTTGTGATCTTATCACAATTAGCCAAAAGTGTTACTTTTGATTTTTCGGGTACTGTCTTCATTATGCAATAGCTTCATTAAAATGCGATCATTTTTCATATATTTGGTATCTAAATGACCGGAATGCATACGGTTTTATGAAACTGTGAAAAAATATTTAAAAGAAATATATTTTTCTTGTTAAAATGCAATTATCCCGACCGTGCGTTTTCATTGTCCTTAAGTATAGTAATTTTATCTTGTAAAAATGCGTCCTATCACTATTAAGCCTTTTTTAAACAGCGTTCCCACAGTTTTATAACGAGTCAGTGACGTTCGTTTCTAAATAAAAAGATCTGGTAACGAATTATTCGCTTTACTAATTTAGATATAGAGAGGGGACCGGTAGATTAGAGGTATCGGGGAGTCTCCTTATTGTTTATGAGTTTTTTCGACGGCAAGTTACATTTTCTTACTTAATTCTTTTGACTTGACAGTGATATGAAACGATTTATCTAAAAATAACATATTTAATTTTTAGAAAAGCTAAAGGCCGCCCTAGCTATAAAACAATTTAATTAAATGATTACCTAATCAAATGGAAATGGTGGGATATCATTGCCAGAAACTACATTGAATTCAACAGAAACGAAATAATCGTTAAATCTAGATCTGGCAAAAAAATCAATTCAACCAAAGATTTTCGTCTGTATTTTCTGTTGACCTTGCTTTAAAATATACAAGGACAAGACAAGGTGATATCATTGATGTAAATTTTAGGGGTTTTCAGACTTTTTTAGATTAGGCATGCTATTCATATAATGCCAAAATGCAACACATAAAATTATTATGGGCCGACTTTGTTTTAATCGTTTACAATTGCAAGGCCAATGTATGACTTGTAGATATCATTTTATCAGTCCATAACAATAATCTTCTAAAATATATAACCATATTTCAACATAGATGCCAATATTGAACAATAAAACATGCAAATCACTGTTTTGCTATCGTAATACTTAGACGCAACTAAATAGAGAACATTTTAGCTGATCATGCAGTTTATTAGATATTATCTAAAGAATTGTTTGATATGAATACTATAATTAAGACCAGATAATGCATTCTTATTTTTTAGGGTTTCTAAACATTTTTCTACGGACAGTGTTGTTGTTGTTGTGTCAGTCTGCCGGTTATCTTATAAGACATATTTAATTCCTGATTTTATATTTTAACACATGTTTTACCGCTTGCATCCTTTTAGAGTAAAAAGTCAAAATTGTATTTAAATATTTGTTAGTAAATCAAAATCTACCTGTCATATTGTTTATTGTTTTGCTTATACGATAGAATTGCAAGGGTTCATGTCAGATTGATTATGTTCGTGAACAGTAATGGTAAGTAAGGTTACCATTTCTGCCACTATTAAATATTAATATAAATTTGACAATCAACTACGTATCATGGTTAAAGCTACTCTCCCACAAAACGGGTTGAAAAACATCAACATATTTGTTTACAGTTATTAAATATGCATAGAAGTGAACTTTGCAGTTTTTACGAGATAACTGTGACCTAACGGTTGTTATGTTTCACTTGACACAGTTATGAACAGCAACCCTTTTATCACACCCGTGAACATGTTGCGAGGACAGCTTGGTGCAGGTAGAACTTACTAATATATAAATAGCAGTTTGACATCGGATGGCCAATATTTGTTCTTCTTTTTTGTCTCTTTTTATAGACATATTTTTCTATGATATTTTGTGCAGAAATAGATTGCAGGATAAAAAACAATACCAAGCGCATACCAATACTGTTCTACCCACAACCAACGGATCTACCTGCAACCAGTTAACGGGTGTGTGTATAATTTAAGCCAATATTTACAAAATAAAACGTTACAGCGGTTTAAAATTACAGCATCATAAACATAGCAAAAATGTTAATGGTTTTTCTTCGGACAAGACATTTATTTATCATCTAGTTCCAAATAAATGCACAAGTCTATGGTTAAATTTTATTTTTTTAATGACATTTTATTTCAAAAACGCCCAAACGACAATATGTGGGATAGTAACTTTAATTAAAAAAGAAGAAAAGAACATATATTTCTATATGAAGCACGTACATATTTATTTTATTTAATAAAGTAATCATATTTCTTTTAAATAGAATATAACCAATTATCTTACCAAGTGTAGAACTTGGAGTTGTTGATGATGATGTTGAGGTTAAAGTCGTACTACTACCGGATTCAATCATTGTGATTGTTGACGTTTGATCTTGCTGATGTGTCGACTCACTACTACTGTGACCATTTAATGTTGTCGACAAAGTTTCTTGCGCAGCTGTCGATACAGGTGCACTTGTTTCTTGCGTATGTGTCGATGTTGATGAACTTGTGCTAGTTGTAACTGTTGACAATGTTTCTTGTGGAAGTGGCATCTGCGTGGTACTCTCGCTTGTCTTTTCAGAAGTTGATGTGCGGTGATACTCAGGCAGTGCAGTTGTACTTCCTTTATTTTCTAAACCAAAAAGTAAACAAAAAGCAAGGTATGAGATTTAAATGATAAGAAAAACGAGTTGTTATAGATGTTAAGTTATCTGATGCATTTTTTTCAACAGGTTTACGAAACCTGATTAAAAGTGGTTTTAGTTCAAATCATATGTAAACGAAATAATTAATCGTTAAACAAATCATTATGCAAAAGAAATGACAAAAGCAAAGTTTTCTTTCTTACTTACGTTTGTCGTATCCGCTTTCCTCATCATTATTATTCCGAGTTGAAACAACAATCAATGCCACACTTAATCCTATAATCAGGCATATATTAGCTGCTATCAAAACACACTTGCATACTTTTTTAATTTTAGGTTTTACAGATGATTTGATTTCAACAAGAGGAGCTTGACTACTGGTAGTGGTGTTGATTGAACCACTTCTAGTGCTTCTACCACGGTCTATACTATGACACGACGGTGGTATATTTTGAAATGTTCCTTCAAATTTATTTGAAACGTCTGAAAAAAGTTCTTCACTGACTGTTGAATACGATTTTTCTCTGAGTAAGAGATCTCTCATTGAAATTGCACTGTGTTCTCTTTCATACTTTTTAGATAATTCCATTACTGTTTAGTAAGTTTTAATACATTTAGAAATGAATAAACTTCCTTGATTCCTTGCTTTCTTAATAACGGTAAATGGAATTGCTTGAAAATTGCTTGAACAAAAAGGCATTGCATTAGATTATCAGATATCATTTAATTTAGCTTAAACCTTTAAATCAAATGACTTTACTACAATTGATTGTTTGGTCCACACAGATGAATGCGTTTGTCGTTTAATTTACTAAATGTAGTATATGATTTTGTTATTCATACCACACTGAAATAAGATACTTAAACGTTTGTTAAGATCGATGGCAAACAATTTTTTTCATTTTACAAATAAATATAAATATTATATATATTGGTAGATATTTAATATGTAAAATGAAACAATGAAGGAAACTCAAATGTCCATGTTAAATGCAAACGCAATATTCTATTTATCTATTTAACTTTATTAATTTTGTTCACAACGAAATTATACTAAACAGAGATCATTGTTGAATATGTGCGTTTAACAAATTAATTTATAATCATATTAAATATATATTATTTAATTTTAGTTTATATCAGTCAATAAACATATTTTACACTATAATTCATAGTTTGGAAGGGAAATATATTACGTCTTTCAATCTTTTTGTCGTCATAACCCTAAATTATAAAGAATTATAAATACAGTTGATATATGAATAGCATAAACTAAATTAATACAATTTTTGTTGATTTATTGTTCCTGGTAGGGTTCTCTGTAATAGCTTCAAGAATGCAGGGATGGATATATGTATTAGTTTCGCGTCATTGGCTCATGGCCACAATGAGACGTGTATTCTTTATTAAGACAATGATTCAATGCTTATTTTAGTACTCTTATGAAATTTACAAAAGTCCTTAAAATTCGGTAAACGTGTGACTATATAAGCTGAAATTGATTTTATTGCGCAGTTCGACCAGCCTGGCATGATCGGCTAAAGGAAAAGCTATTTAAAACAGTCAGTCGGAGTACAAAGTTTTAAACTTAAACCATAATGTAACCAACTAGTAGCTAATATTTTTTATGTATCATACTATCATTTGTTTACAGTGGCCGGATTTACTGGTAAGATTTTTATATTTAAAGAAAAACAATGTATGCGATTCAATGATTTTATACACTCAATTACGTATCTTCAATGCTTGAGTTTTTAAAGGTACCTTTTGAAATTTGAGAAATATCCTAAATTGTATTGTCTTGTACTATAAATTATCAACGTTCATTTGACAATATATGTAAAACTTTCAAATGTTTTCTGTAATATTCGTAATGTGCAGGCATTTACTAGCAAAAATATGTATGTACATTTATTTTTGGTCAAAGAAATATATATACGTAGATCTTTATAGCTCAAGAAGTTTCTTGTTTTATTTGTTTTATTATTATTATTATCATTATTATTATTATTATTATTATTATTATTATTATTATTATTATTATTATTATCATTATTATTATTATTATTATTTTAATCATTTCAAAACTACAGGCAAGAAGGAAAGCTATTTAGCTATAAGCTATGCTCTTAATTGGGTCTTGATGTTCTTTTCAGTGTATTAAATTTTGTAATGGGTATCCTTCCCTAAGTGTGCTAGCAATTCAAAGAAATGACTTTTCAACTATTGTTTGTTTGTTGAGAAAATCAAAAAATCATATGAAATAAGCCTTAGATAAATGCAATTTGTTATATAGTGTTTCCTCTCAGGACGTCGTGTCACTCTAAATTTAACATTTTGTTCGATACTTTTGGATATTTACATGTATCACACACCCGTGCCGATTTTACGACTACGTAAATATGGTATTGCACGGCCGTGCATATATTTTGACGTGACGTCATTAGCGTTATGTAATCATAGTGTAAAGACGCGCTAAATGTTAGCGTTCTACTATAAGCGCGTCAATGGAAAATGACTCTTATTTCACTTTAAACGGTCTTTATTTTGGGTATGTGATAAAAAGAATATTACATTCGTGTAAGTTCATTACTGAATTATTGCACTCGTTGAATAAAATAATATTATGCTCGCCAGAGGCTCGCATAATATAATTTTATTCAACTCGTGCAATAAATTCAGTAATGAACTTACACTCATTCAATATCCTCTAATTATTATATACCTTTTATCAATTCAAATGTGAACATATGAAAAATGTTAACGCCGTATTCCGGACGCTTTGGTGACGGCATTTTCAAAAGAAAATAGACGTTGCAACTATAAAGCATTGACGTGAATATTGAGTATGACATTGTCGGGTTTTACATCCCTTTTCGGCAAATTTAAGATTAGATCTTAAAGGTTTTACCATTCACAGGTCAAGGTCACGCTCGGTCACTTATTAATTTAATAATTTCAAAACGTTGTGTCTGCTCTGTATCTTTCGAAACGATAGAGAGAAAGTAAAACTTTTTGGCAGAAAGTTTTTTTTGTAATGACACGGTGTACATGACAAAATTGACCACGCCCGGTGATATAGACATGTTTAAAACACATTAAGTTTCATTGTATGAATTTACAATGTCTAAAACTTTGATATTTAGCATGTTGCATTGCCTTATTGACCTTATAAAACTGATATGAATAATGCCCTTTGGTTCAATATTAGCCCCGACTCGCCCCGTCACTTGATTTATAAATACTAATATAGGAAGCACATCTGAAACTTATTTTGTGAAACTACAATGCCAAGAGCTAATACATTTAGCATGTAGCATTACCTTGTGAACGTCTACAAAATTGACATAAATCATGCCACTGGAATCAAAATAGGTCCGCTCCGGGTCACTTGATTATAGGAAAACACACTAAAGTCTTATTATGTGAAACTAAGATATTTGGCATGTACAGTGATGTAGCATCAGTTTATAGATTTCTACAACATTTATATCAATCATGACCCACAGGTTAAAATTGTTACTGCCCCGGATTTCGCTTGCTTTAACTAGACTTTTGTTATAACATTGCCTAGAAGACCTCTATAAAAGCTGTATGAATCATGCACTTAGGGAGAAAAATGCCTCCACCTTGGAGGTCATATAGTATCTTAAGGATAATTAAGATAAAACATTTTTCAGACAAGTTTCTTGATTGGGTCTCTACCATTAATAACATATTATTTTTGATTTCTCAAACAAATTTACATTTGGACGTATACTGTCCCGCTTTGCGATGCTCTTGTTATTCAATGGCTTCTTTATGTTGTCTTCTTATCTTAGGAGGCGATGAATGCAAACGAAAAATACCAAGCAAATTTTAGAAGTTTAACACCGTCCTCTCTAGAAAAGGAGAGGTCATTTACAAATATAAGTAGAGCGCCTGAAGATGGAACAGCAGAGGTAAAACCAGCTGCATCACCAAATTTAAAGAATGTTGTGGTGGCGTTAATTGTAGTAGTGGTAATAGCTGTTGGATGTATAGCGGCGTTGGTAGTTGTATTAACAACAAAAGATGATGGCGAAGGCGACCACACAACAGGTTCAAAAATAGAATAATTACACGAATCTATTTTAACGTGTCCCTTTTATGTTTTATGTTCAGTTGTAAATATTTAAACTAATTTGGCAAGCAAATATATTAATAACCACTCAAACAAAATAAGTTTTCGCACTTTTCATATCTCTTAACTTTGAAAGCCTTCAAGATATGAAATCAAATAATTTTCATAAATATTTCAGTACCACCAAGAACAACAACAACTGATCATATGACAACGACAATTTCAATACCTACAAATCATCAAACAACATCAATAGCATCAACATCTTCCCAGACAACAACAGGTACATACTATCTTTATATTATTCTTAAGTTACAATATCTTATGAACTTATTAGGCAAACCCTACACCTACCAAGATATATTAAACTTCTAAATACTTTTTTTCTTTTTTGAACATTAATTTAAGGAACCATTGATGGAATATGGTCGACATGGGGAGATTGGACAAAATGTACATCAACGTGCGATTCTGGAATTCATAAAAGATACCGAAGGTGTGAAGGACAAGACTCAAATCAATGTCTTGGAGATTTCACTGAGACAGAAGTCTGTGTCGAAATGTCATGCCCAGGTATTTTATAGATTTGTAAAATGTATCCCTGAACTGACGGTACATATATTAAAGTTTTGCCCACGTATGATTCAATGTTATAAAGTTGCAATGGTTGATAAAATAACCAATGCAAATATTTTAAAACATGTATTGCATACATATTGTTATTTACTCAACTTTTATTTTTTGTAGTTCAAATATAAACTCTTCTTTGGTGTTACCATGTTGATGTTACAATCATATTCATACATTTCAATCATTTTAAAGCTTTAATGGTATGTGTTTTATAACAATATTTACAATAACAATATTATAAAAACTTATAATTTCGAGTAAGGTAACAAAAACAATTAGACACAAGTCTTAAGGTATTCTTTGTTTTCGGATGTAAATATATTTGCAGAGTATGGCAAATGGACAACATGGGGCCCATGGGAAAGTTGTGGTGTTTCATGTGGAGGAGGATTTCAATCAAGAACACGATCTTGTTCCAAGGCAGAATCTTCTGATATTGATTGCATTGGCACAAGCTTCCAGGAAAAGACATGCAACGAATGGAAATGTCCAGGCTAGTTTTATCTTATTGTCATTTCAAGGTTTCTTTGTTTTATTATTTATCTAGTATTGTTTTTTTCTATATATCAAATGATTAAAATTATTGGACAAGAAACGGAATATAGATGTCTTTCTCAATTCTAAATATATATTAGATAGATTGGTGAAATATTTTACATATATACGAGTTAAATAATAAAAGTAACTTCATTGGAATTGAAATAAAGTTTTGATAAAAATAAAGGAATTATCGTAGATAATACTGCAATATAATCTCATCTAAAATGTTAGACTGCAGCAGAGTGTGTGATGTAGGAGTTCTCGATGACGACTGTGACATTTGCTTTTGCGATGGAGAAGTTGTCTCTGGAAGGGTACTAGCAGTCGATACCAGCAACCCGGTTAGCAATGCTGTTTTCTACTGGAGTTCCTCACCGACAAAAAATCTTGGTGAAAGCAGCTCAACTGGTCTTTTCACACTCGAAAATATGTGCCCTGAATCTGAACTAATCGTGTCAAGACCAGGTTTTGTGGATGCAGCTGTTCTGGTTACTACTTCCTATTTGTTAGTTAATATGTCAAAGACAGGTAATATGAATTCTTATTTATTGATGTTTTAATAATAAATATAAATGGCAAAACAATTAAAGAAATGTCAAGTAGATTAAGGACAAACTATGGGCAAGAGGATCTTGAGGGTATATAAAAATTGTGGTAATTCTGATAGAACGGTTCAAACATGGTTTTAAAAAAGCCGCTTTAATTGTTTGTTGATTCGCTATGTTTAAAGCTACATTAAATAAATATGTTAAAATATTTTGCCGTCGGCCTAAAAACCAAGCATTCTACAGTTTCATTAACCTTTTTAACAGTATCGTTGTAAATCTCATCAAATATTGTTCATAAATTAGGTTTTTAAATGGAAAACCCCACGGTAACACTAAAGTTCGTATACGAATTTTAACATGCAAATGAAGACTATAATCAGCTCGTGTATGCGCTACGTCACGGTGTTATAGTTGCTATCCGGAACACAGCAAGATTTTCTTGTGCAAACACACTTTTACCTTTTAAGCTAAGCCTTCACGGTGCACTAGGCCTGTTGTTCAGAAAAAATAATCATCTCACAAAAAGATTAAATTTGTATGAAAATATCCGTTACCATGCGGAAATATACCGTTAAATTATGTTTGTTGATTTAATATTGATGTACGGGTGATCTGAAGGCGGAGTTTCTCATGAAAACAGAAATTGTACTTCCGAATTCGCCACAATGAGGTTGCACATTTGTATGCTCATTAAACTCATTTTGGTTGCCTGGACACCAAAATAAGATCTGGAGTCGATATGAAACCCAATTTATTAATGAAATGTCGCTATTTCTTTTTCATGAAATTTTTTTTTAATGTAACTTTAACATGTTTTTTTTGTAGTAATAAAATAAACTTATGAAGTATCTGTTTGTTGCAGTTTCACCCTACTTGACAAAGACTCCGCAATCAAAGAACAGATTAGTAGGGGAAGATGTGACTTTGTGCTGTGACGCAGTTGCTAGTCCACCAATTAATTATTATGAATGGTAATGGACAGATAATAATTATATTCATACATTTTGTATTTCTAAAACTACAAAGGCTTTAACAAAGTGAAACATATATGTATATATTTTTGTCAAGTTCAAACTTGCTACATAATTATGAATCAATAATATGAAATGAAATGCGCTTTTCAATGTCGTACTAAATTAAAAACAGTGTATCACAATTTTAATAGGATGAAGGATGGATTAATTATAGAGGAAACCTTATACGCAGAGGGAAATCAACTGAAATTGTTCAGCTTATCAACGACTGATAGTGGAAGCTACAAGTGCAGAGCCAATACCAATGCAGGGGCTATTATGTCTCCGACCGCAACGTTGAATGTCAAAGGTAGACTATCTTAAAAGGATCGTTCCTATTGAGTATTAAGTTCAAAAAGTTAAAAGTTATATGGCTATAAATTGGTCGGTTGATGCAATATGTTGTTGTAAATTTACAGAAAGAGACTTTTCTGGTCAGTATCTATAAAAAATAAAGAATGGAGCAAATTTGATTTGTTATACTTGTTATCATGATCAAAAACATATTTCAAAACCCTTTATTTAATTAAGAGTTCATTATCATTATAGAATTGCTACAGGAATAAATATTGATCACCCTCGCGACTGACTTCATTGTTTTAAGGGTTAATGATTGAATAATGATAAGTGAGATGAAAGAAGGCGTCAGCTATTTAACACGTTTTGTAGCCACATAGAAATGGATAAAACAAAGAAAGTCTGAGTGTTTCAATTATCTTTTATATTGTAATCGCTAGCTCTTGCTTAAATTCTCTCCAATTATAGAATCTTAATTTAAAGTAAAAAAGTAAACACTGTTTCTTTTCACAGAAATATCAAATGATTTTTGTATCGACGCTTTGCAACAAAAGACTATAGCGCTCCCCGATGACTGTGTGCAACCAAGGACAAATACGGCAACGTATAATGTTGGTGAGTGTATATCGAAAGGTTGCAGAGAAAATACAACCTCTGAAAGCAATGTGTGCCATGAAGACATAACATCATGTTGTACAATAGGTGATGCTGATCTCGAAAAGGTCCAATGTTCAGATTATGAACTCGATGTTATTGTAATACGATCTTGTAGCTGTGGAGCTTGTGCCTCGACCTCCCTAACCGTTTTTGGAACAGCACTTGGATTGGAGGATGGATCCCCACTAAGATACGGCGAAGTCTTTGTAAATGGTGTATACAAAACCTTTACAAGTAACACCGGTACCTTTAGTTTTGTAGCAACTAAGGATTCTCCGAGAATAACTTTAAACTTGAGAGATGTTTATCTTAAACAATTTCTTCCAGCTGTCAAGGTAATTGAAATAAACGACAAAATGAATGGAAACCTACGGGTGAAAATTAATATGATCAGAACAGTTAAACCGATTGAGATTGAATCGACAACGGAAAACACTTTAATTGCAGGAGCATCTGCCTCCAAGCCCATTGTCCAAGTTTCAATACCAGCAAACGCATTTTACTATCAAAACGGTACTAAGTTTGAAGGAACTGTACAAGCTAGTTTTGCTTTTGTTGATCCAACAAATATATCGACTTTCAACAATATTCCAGGTTCATTCGAAATTGTCAATCAAGAAGGAGAAAGGGCTGAACTTGCTTCACAGGCAATATTTAATCTCTTTTTTGAAGACTTATCTGGAAATCCGTTAATTTTAGATGACGTTATCGATTTGTATCTTCCATTAGAATCAGGAGAAAACGTTCAGGACAGAGATGTCAAACTTTGGAGACTTAACACTAAGACTGGAATTTGGGAGTACATAACCCAAGGACCAGGAAAGAGAAGACGAAAAAGGCAAGAATCAGCACGGTGGATCGGCGAAATAGACTGGTCAATTATCTCTGGTAACGAATGGCTTAATTACGATTATGTTTATGATATAACCGATAACCCATGTTATTTCAAAATCAGACTTTTTCAAGATGAAACAATGTATTCATCCATTGTGAATCCTGAAAAACAAATAGAAGTAACATATCATATTCTTAGAGACAATAAAACAACTTTAAGAACAATCAGCGATTATATTTATTACCCTGAAAGTGATTGTGTAATAGGTATATGTGAAAACGAAACTGCATATATTACGCTTCATTACTACGGAAGAAAAGGTTACGATGTTTTATTTGCTGGTAAACCTGAACTAGGCCAAAGTAATCAATATTTTGAATTGATGGATAATAATAAAACACTAAAGCTACAAATGTCGTCCAAAAGCATTGGACCATTTTATGATGGATATTCACGATGTAGCGCAACAGGAAAAGACGAAAACCACCTGAGATATCATTATGGGGAAACGTCTGAAGTTTTTACATATAATAAATTTTTTTCTCCTACCCAAGGAAATATAGAAAATCAAATATTAATAAGTCAAAGAACCTGGTTTCCAAAACGGCAAGAGGGCTATAGAGTTTGTTTTGTAAAGGTTCGAATTTTAGTCGAAATAGAATATTTATCCCCTGGTCAGTTTATTAAGTTAAGAGCAACGAGTAAAGGTGGAACAAATGAAAATACTCACAACTTTACATTCGGAATACGAGAATACAAGATCCAGAATCTAACAGACATATCACTTTGCGTAGAATATAAATGCAGTGGAACAATAGACCCTGTATTTCAGGAAATGGATGATTTCACAAAAATAGAATTAAAACTTTTTTATCCAGAAAGTGAAATGACAAGCAGCGTTACACAAGAAGCAGATTTTTTGACCGATTTCCAAAGTTTGCCAAACGTCGCCCAGATTGGAAGAACAGATGGAATTTATGAAATTTACGCACCGACAGTGTATACTCCAGATCTTGGATTATATTCAGCAACTTCTGATCAATTAGATATAGAAAGTGCTACAAACACAGCTGAAGGTGAATGTATATCTGGAACACCGCAAAACCTAGATGATCAAAACCCGGATTTGGGCGTTGCAGTTTATTTCTCTCTCAACTGAATATGAAGCTTTTCTTTCTTTATAATAAGTTGTTTGTTTACACAGACGACAATGGACCGTTGAATTTGTTTCAAAATGCTAGTTATTACACAATATTTCAAATAAAACAAGTTAAATGTTGATGCTGCACATCAAAGACGCCGCAAAATGGTGTGAACAGTCAATCAGCATTGAAAAAATCAGCGACACGGGCTACCTCTCTTCATTTGAATTTTTATATCACAGGTACCCTCTCATTTTTGAACACATAGGTACCCTGAAAGCACGACATATGCTTTTATTTGCGTTAATCGTTAAGTATGTATGTAATATTTCTTACTTTTATGAAAATATTACATACTTAGCGATTAACGCACATAAAAGCATATGTCGTGCTTTGAGGGTACCTATGTGTTCAAAAATGAGAGGGTACATGTGATATAAAAATTCAAATGAAGAGAGGTAGCCCGTGCTGCTGCAAAACCGAAAGTAGGGTGTTTTTATGAATTTTACATTTATTTTTAACAATATATTGCCATTTGTCCGGAGATAATATGTATATGAACATATTAAATATGTATGATGCATAAATAATCAAGCCACAGGTTCATTTCAGCCCGAAAAATACGTCGACATGTCGATTTTTTGTAGCTTATTGTGAAGTTGCAGTACATGAAAATCGGGCACATGACAAATCAGCACATAAATAAAACATTCTAGTGTTCCGGGGTATAAATCTTTTCTTCGTGTCATACCTCATTCTTTATTACAATGAAATTTTACTGGATTGTTATCCATCGCTGGTTTGTTTTTAGCAGAGATGTTCAAAGAGGGCACCGTTTGAGCAGATTTCGCAAAGAGGGTACCGATATGGATATGCACCGTGGGTATGTTTCCGAGACATTTTTAAAACAAGAATCTCATTTGCAATACCTCACAACAACGGAATTTCACATTAGTTATTTTTGTTCACTAAGTAATTTACTTTTTTAGTTTATATGTAGTTAATTAATAAAATTGTCAATAATTAAGTGTTTTTGAAGGCCTTCGTCACAACACTATTTTGAACGAAACGGTTATCTTCAAATAACTGTAAAATATAAGATAATAATTTAATTATCTGCTTTTTAATAACATTTATGATAAAACTCTGAATATAAAAATACGAAAATCTTAGGATAAATGAAATGATATTTTGTGTATTTGTAATAGTTACATCCTTCATTTGCCGTTACTGTCATTATATTCAATTTGACATTTGGTGTCATTTAGTTTGTCTAATGGACTTATTTTACTTTTAAAATAGCAGTTTAATTAATATATATAACATACTTTTAGTTAAAGTAAGAAGCTTAAAGAACGCACACAACAAAACTAAAATGTTGCATGCAGGATCGGTTTGATTGACCTTGATCATTGATGGTAGTGTTGAATGCAATCTTCCGTCCATACCACCTAGCACAAGCTTATTAAGCAGAACCAATATTTGAAGAAGGCTATAATTATTTGATACAAATTTGTGGGGTTTTTATCTATAAATCATCTAAGAGAATTAGAGAAATAGCGTACCACACAAAGCTTTGTAAAATAAATGACGTCTATGATATATCTTGATAATGAATACAAACAGTGTCGTACAAAAACTGTCTGCAAAAGAAGTATGCCCGTATTGGTAAAGTTAAACGTATATTAAATGTAAATGCATCGTTTGCAAATATTATATAATATATAGGTCAATAAAAATTAGACAAACGCAGTGCATCTGTACTAAATCAATTTGTCTGCTGTAAGGTAAAATATGTTTTTCTTAAACTGGTTTAAAATAGTAAAAAGGCCCACAGGAGCACATCGAATTCCGCTAGAGGTGTTACTTTTGAATTCTTACAGAACCTTACATGGCTGCTTACTTGATTTCATTAAGTATTTTTCTTATACCTGCACACCAACTTTTATAAATCATACATAACGAAGCAAAGCACGGAGGCTGATAAAGGTTCCAAATCCTTTGAGGGCATCTCGTAATGTCAACATATGAACGCATGTTAAAACGTTTGACCAAGTTGAATCCTTCAATAACATATAAGCCGTATAATCTCGATGATAGTACAAAACCCGCACTACGGAAGCTATGCTGAATAATTCCAGTGCATTTATGTTGTACCACTATACATTTTGCGTGCAGAACTTTTAACATATTTAAAAAGATCATTACATAACAGGAATAGTTCCTAGTTAACTAACCAGTAATTAAAATTTTCTGCGAACGTACAGACTACTAATTAAACACGTTTTTTGAATAAGCGAAAAAAGGGAATAGTAGACTGAACTGTTACGGAGAAATTGCACAGCAGACGACCAAACCAGCGAGCCCCGGATTACTAATCCGATGATCTTCCCATTGAACTAAGTGGGTTGATTATCTCTATTAGTTTTTCTTTACTTATTGGTTACTATAATGATGTGAGCTCCACTGAGGTCAGAAAGCCTAAAAAATCATATGGAAATACTCACATAGATAACGATGAAACACTACATTGGGGATAATTGAATAATATACTCAGACAAAAATTGAATACTTTTTTGTGTCCGATTTCAGAGTTGCAACGCTTTTAGAGGTTTGCCCATTGCGTAATAAAAATGAATATATTGCAACAACTGGATAAGGAAATCATCTTAAAGTTTGCACCGAGACCTATATCAAATGCTACTCATAACTCGGAAAAATATTTCCAGTCCCGTCATGTCAAAAAAAAACTTAGTTGAGTCCCTTTATTAGTAAATACAATTCAAGATTGCTAATTGAGAATAATTTGTATGTACGTACGTTTGTTACCTTAACTAAGGCCTGTGTAATGTAATATTAACCTATTTTCATGTACTTATGCTATGCCACCCTCTAACAGTATTGTTCTGCTTTAGATTATCGTGCAGAATCTTTCACAATGGGGAATATCTTTATGCATAAACCAATTACACCATAAATACCATAACATATTATGACTCCACATTCATGAATAATAACATGTTTATAAATTAACAAAATACGAAATGAGTACTTAAGGATATATCTACAATGCATTGTATTTCATTTATGAATAAATAAAAACAACATTGAATCAGTTTTGCACTCATTATAAATTCTATGTATTTTATTTTAATGTATACATAAAAACAAAAATAATACAATTCTTGTACAATCTTTATACCCTGCACTACATAATCTTAACATTGAATAGTGTTGCATATTTTAAAAAGCCATGCAACTTTTTTTTAACATACTCAGTATTGACATAATATATTCATATTGTACATTTTTAAACAAAATACCAACTCTTATATGTACGCCACACTACATATTATTTTACAATGTATATTGTATTATGTTATATATACGGTGGCATAGGGGAACATCAAAATATTTTATCTATCATGTGCACACGCAATAGCTACTACGTGCGCACGCGATCGCCCCTACCTTGGTCAATCATTACGTGCGCACGTAAAAGCTATCGCATGCGCACGTAATAGCTTGTACGTGCGCACTTAGTAGCTATCGCGTATGCACGTGGTAGCTTTCGCGTGCGCACGTGGTTGATAAAATATTTCTGATGGCCCCTTTTTGCCACCGTATACATATCATATAAAGAATACTAAATTTAAAACTTATCATCTTTTATATTCTATGCAATCATGAAAATTGAAGTATAGTGTTAACAATTAATTAACATTTTGTCGTTGAACTGGTGATAAAAATATAATTAACTTTGATTAAACTTATTACCAATTAGCATTCAGTTAATATAATGCTAAAACAGTAATATTTGTGTTATTTGTTTGTTATAATATACAAATATAGGTATCAAATGATATTAAGTAGTTAAGTATATATATAAGTTTATTGAATATAAAAAAGCATCTTTAACCGCAAATTTGATTTCAACACACATCTTGCAACAGATTAAATCATTTTCTTTTCTTTTTTTCAACATTTCACAGACTTTCACAGCAAATTATACAAAAAAGAAAACAATTTTCTTTTCGTGTATTTTCGTTTAACAACCAATAATCTTTCTACATGTTCTAAATACAGCAAATTAACGGCATGCTTAGGAACGTCGTTTGTCAACGAACATGTACATTCCATTTTCTGTTCTCATTACCGCCGCTTGATTCTTCCTAACTTCGTGACTTGTATCCAGACGAAATGTAAAACTGAAACAAACATATAGTTGTCAACTTAATCTATTTTTTTTAATTGAAACATAGTTCTTTCACTGGTTGGTTCATTACAAATACACTCATGTTTTTGTGTACAACCTATTATGTTTTTGTGTACAACTTATTACAAAGTGAAACTTGTACTGTTATATCAATAAAAACGTGTTGTTTACAGCTGACTTTACATATGCATTGTTAATCACATATCCTTACATATTACGTGACGTCATTTGCAGTACAGTATGCAAACAAAGCGTATAATTATTTCGTATAGCTTTATTTAAAGGCTCGCATTTTTTTCAATCCTTTCAATATTAGTAATAAATCATAAGATACTCATTCATTCAATATCCTCTTGATATGCATGAGAAGTCTTCTTAAAGTTACTTACTGTTTTAGGAGTTTTGACAGAACCACCTTAAGTTCGTTCATTGCAAAGTTCTGACCAATGCAGTTCCTAGAATAACAGAAACAAATATTTGTGTATTATAAAAAGGAGCTCGTGAAATGATTCAATTTACATAAATATACGTAATGCTTTTTTTATTATTTCTATTTCCGGTCAAAATTGCTCTGACTTTCTTTAATTCACCATTGTATTTTAGCTTTTACTCTATATTTCGTAAACCAATGCCACTTTATTGTATAAAGAAAGCGTCTAAAGTCTGATTAGCTTGGGTAACTTGTGTAGCAGGATGAAACAAACATAATTTTACTACCAAAATTAACCTGGTTTGTTACTCACGCCTTTTTTTCTAAATCTCATATATGATGAGGTCAAAGATATCAAATGCAGTTTTATCATGAAATGGCAATCATTGAAATAATCGTAAGACAAATGAGTTAGTCTCTTAAGAATCAAGTCTTGAATCAAGACATAAGAAGCGAACTTTCTGAAAATGGGGTTACTATCAATTTAATACATGTAGTATTATGAGACTATGTACATTTTCAAGCGAAGCACTGGAAAAGATAATATATAAAATTCACTCTACTTTATGTGCAACAACTGTATGCGGTTTATCATAGAATTATTTCAGCTACGGACATGCTTTACCTACCTAGGTCCAGCTGAAAATGGCACGAACTGGAAATTTTCCATTGTGTCAATATTTTCTTTTGAGAATCTGCCTGGTTTGAACTCCATATGATCAGATCCCCATATATGCTCCATGTGATTCAATGCCCAAATGTTGATTTGAACCAGTGTCCCTTTAGGTGCAACACGGTCACCAAGATCAAAGTCGTTTTCTATATCACGACCAACAATCGGTACCGGTGCATGAAGACGCATTCCTTCTTTAATACACATCGTGAGATACTCAAATTTACTCAAATCTGACCTACAATATATTTCATATTTGTAAAATCTTCGGGCAGAGATACAAATCAAACGCGATATTTCAAGAATGTTAAGAGTAGATGTCGTACCATCAGTCAACCATTCTTGCACATATTTCAACGAGGAATTTATATGTCAAAATTAAAGAAAAAACACCAATACACCTAACTTCTTTGTTACTACCAATTAACTTACCATTCAATATCGTCGCTGTCTCTGTCTCTTAAAAGTTCGTCTATTTCTTTTTGACATTTTCGTTGACATTCGGCATTTTCCGCAAGGGAAAAAAGTATCCACGAAATGGCACTGGCGGTGGTGTCATGACCTTTGAACGTTTAAAGAATTATATGAGAATTTCACAGGTTTTATCAAAAATCTTTAACCTATGGAGTCACACGAAATTTTTCGCACAATGTTTACTACTGCATAATAAATTTGATAATCTGTCTTTCAAGTATATTTAACTCCTGCTATATAACATAGCTTTAAATTGTAAAAGGGTGTGTCCTTAGTCGGACAAGTTGCATGATTGTATATACTATATAATTATATGGGTAGATTATTAAACGCAGTGAGCAACTCAGTGTTCTATTATACCCCTATTTTATTTCAATAGACTTACCTTCAAATAAGAACGTATCAACTTCATTCCTAACTTCTAAGCGTGTTAGCTTGTTGCCAACTTCGTCCTTTGCCTTCAAGAGAATGTCAAGGAAGTCAACATACCGACGCTTGTCGGGCTTTCCTGTTTCCTGAAAATAGTTGTTTCGTGTGCTGTACAATATTTCATTTTGGGTACGCCTGAATATCTTGTATTAATCAACAATTAATTTACATTACATTTACAATTTACATACAAGAGATAAAACGTTTGGTCAGTGACCTAAATACATTAGATAACAGATATGTGTTCAGGAGACAGCACTATGGACTAATAAAATTATAGAAGCGGTAAAGAAAAATAAAACTATGAAAAACAATTAAGTATACAATTGTAATAACTTTATTGCTTGTTCAGTGTCAAGGTTAGGATAAGATTCAAATGATTATAACTTTTTCACAACATATTGCATAAACATCAATGACAGTGAAACATAAAAATATCAACAGAAATGTCTATGTTGAAAAAGACAACAAATTGTAGTCTGAAGTAAATCCCTTGTGTAAAAATGAGAATGTTAGAGTCTGTTAAATGTTAAATTATTTTAGGCCAATTTTTAAGCTCTAAATGGAAGAACTATTAAAATTATGAACTTTAAATTGTCTTGCATGATGTGGGTGATAATATTTGGAGTTTAGTGAAAATTCCGTAACAAATAAATAAGTGATAGTTAAAAGAATTAAAAAGCCAAACCATTTAAACTGAAGCTAATTCTGGAATAATTTTATGAACAAACTGTAATTAAAATTTGGGCGCGGACAACGGAGTAAGACTGCTCTCCATTTTACAATGGGTATAGCTGAGCTAAGATTGTATATGAAGTAGTTGAGGAACGGGATAAATCTATGCTAGTATTTTATGTCTTGGAAAGTCACTTAGAAAGTGTCTCATGTACAACATGTAAGATATGCACGACAGTTCGCAGGTAAACCTTGACAAGAAAGTGTTAAGCCAAATCTAAAACAAACACTAACGCAGTTGCCGCGAGGAATAGTACAGCGTTAAACTGGTATGCTAAACGTAAAGTCTGGTGTATATTTACATGTATCTCAATTTAGTTTAAACAACAAACATCTTATTGCCATGTGGAAAAACTTACCAGTTCAAGTTGACGCTTATCAATAATTTCTTCTGACACGGTATGCACAAATTCACAATCCTTTTTATACTGTCGGCTGGCTTTAGTTAGATTCCAAAAAAAGTCAACCAACAAAATTGGATTTCTGTTTGAAAAGATACTATATTTAAAATGATAAATATCATCAATGTACCAATAATTTCAGATTTCTAAACCTATACATTTCACTTATTACTACTATACACTGTTATAATATTATATTTACAATTCTGCTCAATTACAATTTTATTTTGACATTACTGAGTCTAAGATACATGATCGCAAGGTTCTTTACACTTCTGGTAATTGTTAAGTTATATATTTTTTTAATATGAAGGTCAATACGCATATTAACATAATACATGTTTTCAACGAGTTATAACATGATTATACTTGCTTCAAGGTAAACAAACACCATCAAACTGGAGCATTGAAAAAAAACATGTTTTCGAACGTAATCAAATTGTTCTTCTTGTCTTGCTTATCATAATGATGAAATCATGGATTAAGAAAAAAACTTACAGAAATCTTTCGGAGAGCCTACAAGTTAAACGATTCACTGCTTTAACGTACTCATTTGTCTCTCTGAAAGTTAAAAATTTCTCACTTCATAAAGAAAACCCAAAATATTATTACCGCTCCGGTGACATATTTTGTTTTTTTTAAACGATTTTTGACAATAAGCGTATACAAAATAAGAAAATCCGCAAAGGTACATTGCAGATTGGCTTTCATATCGTGGCTGATTTGTGCAATTCGTGTTTTCGCCCCGCGACCTACGAAAAGTCGATAATTAACAAGTTAAAATGGCGGGGGCGCGGAGCGAAAAGTCGCTATTTAATCATTAGCGGGGTCGCAGGGCGAACACACGAATGGCACAAATCAGCCACGATACTTTCATCATGTTTTAAAGACGTAAACGTAACAAATGGATACTCAAGTTTTATATTTGAAGATATTATGGGACTTAAGAATAAATATAAATTAAGTCAAACAAAACCAAATGGTATATGTCGATACTCATTCGCCTTGTTTTCGATATACAATTTGATCAAGCGAATTAATCTTGTATATAGCTCCCAGAATCAGTGCTTAAATTATCTTTTATTGTTTGTTTTTTCAATGCTATGTTAATTTTAGAATGTATGAATTATTACTTAAATACTTTTTAAGAAATTAAAATATTAAACGGTCATATACCCTGCGGTTTGCACATTTTTCGTGTATGAAAATGCACATCTCAGCATGCTGTCCAGCGTACATAAACATACTTCGTTGAATACCTCAAATCTTTTGCCTTCTTCCGCCTTTTTTGTCAACTTTTCCTGAAATTGTCGTGAACTTTTTATTTGTCCAGTTTTTTAACATTGTGTTTAATGATTTAACAAAATCAAATGCTAAATACAACATTTATAGACAATTTGCTTATGCACGCTTGTGATAATAATTTTTACACAGCTTTGCATTTTAACCCTTATAACTCAATTATTTTAAAACTCTATTATTTTAAACAGACTTCAAAAACCATTTATTTTTATAGGAATGGATGAATGGCAAACAATACTGACCATGATCAGACAGTATGAATGCGCAGGCCGGCTGATACTTTTCCGACGTGAGGGGGAGGGGGTAGTTTTACATATGTATCAAGTCTACAAGCAGTAAGTGACAAAACGACTGTTGACAAATTAGTGGAACATAAAAATGGGTCAAAATAACTTGTTTCAAAAACAATTCCAGAATTTACCACAAGTATATCCGCCGATTCGTTGAACACCTGCACGTAAGGCATCAGTATCTCGAAATGGAAGGCAGGGGTTAGCAGACGTCTGTTTCGTGCCCATTTTTCTCCATTGGCCACAAGCAAACCTTCGCCTAGCCATGGCAACAAGAGGCGATATAAACCGACAAACCCTCTCGATTTTGGCTCTGTAATCCGAAATAAAAACTATATTATACTTTTATCTTTATAACAAATATAGCCAGAGGTGAAAACAGAATAAAATATATCACAAGAAAGGTTAATATATAATCAATATACCAGTGTAAGATATTTTTTCAAATATTTGAAGAACGGCGAGATAAAACATTTACGTCTCAGTTAGTTATATATATTTCTACATTACACAATGCTAATTAAGAAATAAGTAAATAAGTATCAACAATTTTCCTTGACAAAAGTCATAATGTCTCTGTAATTTGAACCCATTAGTCGACTCTTATGATCATGCAGGCATAAACGATGACTGCAATCCTGATGCCTCAACTCCTACACGTAACCCCTCAATCACAAGGGGTGAGAGTCTATATATTTTTTGAAAATATAGATCATTTTAATAGTCATTGACCAAATATTGATAACAAGAAACATGGCAATGCCATGAAACCAGGTTTTCAATTATCACCATTGTAGATAAATATGTTGTATTTGAAATACAAATACAAGCAACAAACAATGTAACTATGTGCAATGTAAAACATGAATAATGTAGGAGGAATTGCCACTGAAGAAGTGTTCACTATAATATTATGTATAAGGAAAAAAACAAAGGGCCATAATTAGGTCAAAAACTATCCAATCACAAAACCCGGACAATATGTGCCAGGGTGCTTGATGACAAAGCTTCTGTGAAAGTTTGAACAAAATCCGTTGAGAAATGTAGGACAAGTTCAGCACAGAAGAATTTGTTCACTATAAATTATATTGATAATTCTGTATAATGAAAACAAGTTACAAAGTAGACATGAAATAATATATCATATCTTTTTTAAATTACCTCCAAAGATGATATGACCTTTGACTGCCAAATCAAGTTAAAATCATGTAAACAGGATTTTCAATGTTAATGTCACTGTGACCTTGACCTTGGAGCAAGCCATGCGGAACATGCGTTCTGCACGTCATCTTGATGTGGTAAACATTTGTCTGAAGTTTCATCAAAATTCTTCAAAGGGTTGAAGAGTTACAGAGCGGACAGGATTTTCAATGTTAATGAAATCATGTAAACAGGATTTTCAATGTTAATGTCACTGTGACCTTGACCTTGGAGCCAGCCATGCGGAACATGCGTTCTGCACGTCATCTTGATGTGGTAAACATTTGTCTGAAGTTTCATCAAAATTCTTCAAAGGGTTGAAGAGTTACAGAGCGGACAGGATTTTCAATGTTAATGTCACTGTGACCTTGACCTTGGAGCCAGCCATGCGGAACATGCGTTCTGCACGTCATCTTGATGTGGTAAACATTTGTCTGAAGTTTCATCAAAATTCTTCAAAGGGTTGAAGAGTTACAGAGCGGACAGGATTTTCAATGTTAATGTCACTGTGACCTTGACCTTGGAGCCAGCCATGCGGAACATGCGTTCTGCACGTCATCTTGATGTGGTAAACATTTGTCTGAAGTTTCATCAAAATTCTTCAAAGGGTTGAAGAGTTACAGAGCGGACAGGATTTTCAATGTTAATGAAATCATGTAAACAGGATTTTCAATGTTAATGTCACTGTGACCTTGACCTTGGAGCCAGCCATGCGGAACATGCGTTCTGCACGTCATCTTGATGTGGTAAACATTTGTCTGAAGTTTCATCAAAATTCTTCAAAGGGTTGAAGAGTTACAGAGCGGACAGGATTTTCAATGTTAATGTCACTGTGACCTTGACCTTGGAGCCAGCCATGCGGAACATGCGTTCTGCACGTCATCTTGATGTGGTAAACATTTGTCTGAAGTTTCATCAAAATTCTTCAAAGGGTTGAAGAGTTACAGAGCGGACACAATTTCGTTTGACGCCCATCCGCCCATCCGCCCATCTGCCCATCCGCCCATCCGCCCGCCATACCCCAATCTAATAACCAGGATTTTCAAAATTGAAAACCTGGTTAATAAAAAATAGTATAAAATGTAACACTTGCCTAAATATCAAAAGACTGTCCCACTCTTTTTATAAATTTAACATTAACAATACATTCCGAACTAGATTATTAAATTGAAAGCAATTATGGCAAAATTTAAGTTATTTTGACATTGACCTGTACACCCAAACCTTGGATGGGCATAATGTCTCGCATCATACAACATTATAAAATACATATACATGTTCGCCCTTTCTATTGAAATGAAAGTTTGTTCATTTCTGGGGCATAATGTGCCTTTACATAAGCCAAGTACCCAGTCCTGATCTAATCAGTGTATTGTTACATTACTGTACATGACCACCACATGTATTGGCGGAAACGGAACAATAGGCTGGCGAAATCTTAACTGTAATTTGACGCGATGAAAATTCACATGACTAGCATGAAATCATGAAATATATACATATTATCAGGCCAATTTCCTAATAAATATATTTTTCTTTCTCCTCTTTTATTGTGAGTAATAATTAACAAAAGTTCAAACCTATATATGCTTAACCTGCACAAGTTTCATTCATAAATAATATGTTACCTTTACGCTGAATCCACAAATTTCTCCTATCGCTAATAATAAATTAACATAAAAACTGGACGATATTGCATACATTTGTAACAGCATAAAATACCTAACCATTGGTGAAGTAATACAAATGTTTACCCCAAATTAGGATACATGTTTTACCAAAATTTGGAAAACTGTATAAATTAAGCCCGCATCCCGCAAACCGCAGTTTCGGATAGCGGAGTTCAGTATTTTTCTTCTTATTTCAGGTAAGCTAAAGTTCTTCTTAAAAATGTATAAATCTGTTCATATTGTTCGTTAGTTTTGTGTATTCATAATTTCTTAAAAATATATAGAGCACATTTTAAATAGTTATAATTTATTTAAAAATATTCTGCTAAGGAACTTTTATTTTTATTTACAAACGGTACTTACAATTTATTTGAAAAGAATATTTACTTTACATATTTGTTTTACATTACGATCTATGCTATATTGTTAAGTATTTCTATACATAAAGCAAATTTCAAATAGTTATAGTTTATTTAAAAATATTATGCTAATAATCTTTATTTTATTCGATATTTACAATTTATTTCAAAAAATTGTGCTATATTATAAAGTATTAATATGTTCATGAATTGCAGTTTTGTACCATATAATAATATAATTTAAAAATAAAGTTTGGAATAGCTGAGTTCAGTAGTTTTCTTCTTATTTCAGAATATATGTCAGTCTTCTCTAAAAATTATATTTTCCAAGTTATTCCCCAGGTCGTTTGTGTATTAAACTCAAATAAAAAAACCAGCTCAATAATTTAAAAAGCAATGTTATCAAACTAAAAACAAAAGTAACACCAAGGCGGCCTAATAATATCTTTTGATATACAATATTGTTTACACTGGTAAATGTATAATCTTTAAATAATTTAATACAAATTTGTCATTTGTTCCGATATTAACAGTGATATGTAGTTATATGGCCTACTTAACTATGACAATAATTTTTACAAGGCTCTACAAATGAAATTACCACTAACACTACATAATATGCGTGGAAACAAGATTTTGTAAAAGTTTGAGTCGGGTATGTACATGTACCATCGGCTCTATTTCGCCGGTTAATCGGGTCCATTTTGATAACCCATGTGTCCCATCTGCTAAAGTCAATAATTGTAAATTGGTAGAAAAGAACAGGTTTTAACTTTTACAAATTACTTATTGAATAAGTTCGATAACTGGTTTCATTCGGATGAATGTGTTTGAGTTCTTAAAATTTAGTAGAGAAAGTATATTTGAGTCGCGTCACGACAAAACCAACATAATGGGTTTGCGACCAGCATGGATCCAGACCAGCCTGCGCATCCGCGCAGTCTGATCAGGATCCATGCTGTTCGCTATCAGTTTCTCTATTTGTTATAGGGTTTGAAAGCGAACAGCATGGATCTTGATCAGACTGCGCGGATGCGCAGGCTGGTCTGGATCCATGCTGGTCACAAACTCATTATGTTGGTTTTGTCGTGACACGGCTCATTTGTTGATCAATCCTTACTGCTGGCACAGCAACAGCAATGGCATCAACGTCTAACAACCTATACGTTGGTTACTGCACTAAAATGTTCTGGTAGAGACGAGTTCGAAAGTTACTTATCGAACACACTCTGTAGTTAAATAAATAAACTCCTATATCTTTATACAATGTCATCAGCGCTAGTGGTGCTGGCGTTAAGTCCATGGGGAATTCGGAGTGCCACCAACCCACTCATACACGCATCTTTATGGCTGGGGAGAAGATCATATAGTGCTTTGTTTTGTCTTTAAGAACTGTCAGACACTTCTTTTTTCACCAAATGACATTGCTATTCATTAAAGGAGTAAACTTTGTAAACATGGTATATTTTCAGTGTGGCAAAGAATTCGGCGAAAAGTATATGTGCGTAATGAGGGTCCGAGTACCAGGGCCCAAAATCACTTACCATTTAGGCTTCAAGACTGAGACAATTACTAATAGAATAAATTTACTGTTTGGATTAACAAGCATTAATATAATCTGAGCGGAATCAAAATCTAATTAACAATACTAACCGTTACTTTTGCATATTATGCTCATTATCCTTGGACTGCATGCTATAACGAGTGGTTTCTTAAACATGCCCCATAACAAAACGTAGCCTTGTTCCTTTCCGTATTTATTACAAATGTCAAGGAAATACTGCATTCGATCATGTCCATCTTTAGGGAACTGAAAAATGACGACAATACAGAATTTTAGACGGAAAGTCTTCATAAGGACTCATCGGCACTTACTTAGTACAATCATGTAATAATGTCGGAACTAAAATTCAGAACTAGAATTACAAACATTCTTGGGATGACATAATTATTTACGCTTCTTGAAATATATTCAATCTGGAAAAGATTTATCTATCATTGAATGTAAAATTAAGGAATTAAAAATAAAACGTTAGAATTTTCTAGAAGGTCACTTTTAAAAAAATTAATATTGGCAGGATCCAAGGTAGTCTCTCCGGCCAGGTTGTCAGTTATCAACTTGTATTTTCCAACAGACACCGGTAAACCAAACCATCGAATACTGCTACCATGCGGGATCATATTCATTGGTCATTAAGGCGCTTCCTATTACGCCCTTTAATAGCTCTTCACTCTTGTGCCAGATCCAAAATAAAACTGATTCTGTCTCATGTGCAATGGCTAATATGGTTCATGTTGCGCACATGTACGCCCGCAAACTTTATCACATTTGGAAGCCAGCTTCCCTGGAAAGAACCAAAACCATACAAAACCTCATTCCTTACATGTAGGCAGCTATATTTTCCAGTTTCTGCTCGCAATTCTTTTACATTCTATCTTCCCATAGAAGATAGGTTTAAGTAATATAACTTGCTAGGTAATAGATGACCATAAACCAATGACAGATTTAAGTTTGGTCATAATATTGTCTTTTGGGAACTTCAGCTTATTATTGCTCAGCGCCCACAGGCGCGGAGCTATTTGTGTTTACTATTTTTTTTGTCCATGGGCCCGGATTTGATCAATAAATCCCTTCGATTTACAGCTTAAAGTAAATCCGCATTCAAGAACTCCTTTCGATTTCTATATTGGTTTCCCCGTCGGTGATTCGCAGCATGTCATATTAATGAATGAGAACCGGAAAGCAGTTCTGCTGTACATGAATTCGAAAGCTATAAATAGTTATAAATGTTCTGATTTTTGACACTTAGTTATAAATTTGTTATTTCCCTTATTTGTAGTACATGAAATTATAATTTGTTACATTTTGAATTACATTTACACACAGCATATCAAGTATACTATTAGTGATTGAATTTGTCAATATAAAGAAGATTTCAGGTATAAGACTTTAACAATTTTGCTTTTGATAATTATTCTTAATTTATATTTATGAAATTAAATGTTTAATAATAACATGTTGATATATTGGTTGCTTTGAAATAATTAAACTTGAGTATATAAGGTTACATTTCATTAGCGTCATTGGTATAGCATGCCACGTTGTGAAAAAGTATGACTGGTGACAAATTCGGGGTCCGTACTCAAAGCGAAAGCTGCATTTTGTGGCCTTACGAGAGGATGGATCCTCATTAAGCATAGGCTATAGATAGATATCATGATATTAAAACAACTCTGCAGTTTGAACATGAAGTGTCATGTTTTTTATGAATGGTTTTAAAGCAATTCAACAAAAAATATATATTGATCTTCCAATAAATTAACGATAGTTTTTTTTTTATATATTACCAATGTCAAATAGCTTTCATATCTTTGACTCGCACTAACATGATGTTAGAGAATTTCCTCATACCTGCCTAAAATTCAGGTAACAGTCTTCAATTATATTGATAAATACTGTATCACCATGTAACGCGTGTATAACAAACAAAAAAAATCCTGAATTTGGTCTTTTATAATTTATCCCATTTTTTCATTCCAGAGTGTGTTCTACTTTCAGTATTGAAAGAAACCATTTTTTTTTAATTTGACATGAAAAAAAATGCATGTAATATTACTATATTATAATATTAGTCCCTTTTGTTACTATTTGTATATTTGTTACAATAATAATAATAAAAAAACAGACTTTGATATTTTTATCATCTTATGTTACTGACTACAGAACACAGTACAGTCATGTCACATAACATTTACAAGTCTTGTAAGTCTTGTTTGTATTCAATGGAATTACTTTCCTTACCAGGTAGGCATCAGTGAAAGCATTTTTTATATTAAATATCTTTCCCCTCTTTTTAATTATGGACAATGCATAAGATAAGTATAATTATGCAAAAAAATGGTTTACAAAACATTCGGAAAAAATCTACAATAGTACTTAATCTGAATATAGCATGACCTGTGCGTAGGAACAATTTGGTAAGGTATCTGTAATGAGCACATTTTTTGCGCGGAGCTTCTCAATTGCTGCATTGCAGCAACATTTGTACTTGTTATCTCTTTCATGTTCATAGGCCTACGTGATCATTACCAAGTCCATTCTGTTGTGTAAGCGTTGAATATGATGTTTATCTATAGCTTCGATAACAGGAGATTAAAAGACTAGCAGTGAAATTACTTAGTCATCGATAAAATAACACAATATGTTTGTCGTCTGCTCCAGTAAAATATATACATGTGCAATGCACTATATTTTTCACTGTTTGCACAGTTACAAATAACACGTTTGAAACGTTAACCTACATATTCCTCGTTCAAAACATGATATGCGATGGCAGCTCGATCATTAGTAGGGTAGACTAGTGCGCATGTGTGTAAATGCATGATCAAGAGTTTTGAGACTTCAACAAATGAGCCGCGTCACGACAAAACCAACGTAATGCGTTTGCGACCAGCATGGATCCAGACCAGCCTGCGCATCCGCGCAGTCTGATCAGGATCCATGCTGTTCGCTTACCAACCCTTAGTATTACAAGTAGAGAAACTGATAGCGAACAGCATGGATCCTGATCAGACTGCGCGGATGCGCAGGCTGGTCTGGAGCCATGCTGGTCGCAAACGCACTATGTTGGTTTTGTCATGACGCGGCTCAAATATCGACTATCGAAATAGATAGTTTCACCGTGTACTGTTTCTACAACACATCATTATTAGTTGTGTTTAAGATGTTTTTAAATTGATGCCATTTTAAGAGATTTTTTCTACAAATATCGACTACAGAATAGTGTATCTATAAACAATTAAGTCTAAATACGGTACTAGATCAACCTACATGGTCCATATAATGATTTTAAAACATGTAAATTATGCTCCCTTTAAAATCAATGGTCAATCAGTATCTTGAACTCCGATAGCAGCTAACCTGAGAAACCTCTGCTCCCCTTGTTTATATAAAACCAGATCAACCTTCATCCGCCCCTGACTGCGAAAAGACGGTAAATAAAATCTTACGTAACTTACGTGCACAAGACTGCCAAAAAGCCAGTGACATTTCTCTGGACCTTTTGCTCCCTTGAATATAGCTGTTATTCTCCTCACATGCAATAAAAATAACACAATGCGATATATAACCGCAGATACCAACAAAAACAAAATAGTTTTAAGTATCAGTGAGACTTCCATTTTTTAAACCCACTGCCCTGTAGGATGTACACGGTCAAATGATACGCTGTGATGATCTTTCAACAATAGTGCTCGCTCTCACAAGTGCTCGTCCAGTATATATAAAAAAAAATAAATTAAAAAAAAAAACCCAACTATTTTGGGTCGAGTGTAAGAAAAAAAAATTGATTTTTTTCCTATATACCATTACTACTCGTTTTAATTTTTTTTCTTACACTCAACCCAAAATAAATAGTTGTTTTGATGTTGTTTTTTTTTTGTTTTTTTTTTTAATTTCAATTATTTTTATATGGGCACCAAGACTGGACGAGCACTTGTGCTCGCTCTATAAAAATTTATTCATATCGATCATATCTATATTTTAAAGCACTATGCGTTCATTGATTAAAAATGAGCCTAGTACATGTATTTTAAAATTGAGAAAAACGTTGTTTGTCTTTTTTTTTAATTTATCTGTAAAATTATTTTTATTACTATTTGCACAGAAAATTAGCTACGACATGGAGTTAGATATTGTTATATTGTGTTGTGTTATATTGTATCGTTTAACGTTTTCCTAGGGAGGGTGTCGGGAAATAATTGTACTAAATAGATGGTCGGATGAACAGGCGTTATGTAGTCTATAAAGAAAACAAAATACATATTGAAGAGGACCCCCTATGCCTTATGCCTGGAGTTGTATTCGTATCCACCACCGTCTACGTTGGGTTTTAAATTATTTATATCTCTTTTTGTCAATTCTTTAATATACATCTAATTACAAGGAAATGGCTGTTTTCTATAAGTAATCAAAAATACGATTCGATGCCGCCGTTAGCAGAGGTAGTTTTGTACAAAATTGTACCGGCTTCAAGTAAAATTTGGCAAGTTAGCAACTCGACCAAGGACACACCTAATAATATACCGTGTATTTAATATACTAGAACAGTATGTTGAATTTGCAGATCCCTACTTTGACCTTTTATTTGAATAACAATAGATTTAACCACAAACATGGACATGGGCTCATTTGTTAACAAATATGTTATGGTGAAATTCTTAATGTATCCAATAATCTGATAATAAAAATCAAGACAGGTCAGGGATCTATGCATCCTCGTTTAAGGCAAATTATTCGTCCAGGTTGAGGAGTATGTTGAGAGTATTCTTATTTTATAGAAGGTGGTCATTTTTACTGTTATTATTCTAAAGGGGTCACCAGAAGCAATTTCGAACTGTTTTTATCAAAATTGGGTATATTTTTAGGTAAAGGCCAAATGGTATCCATGGTGATCTGTCAATGCAGACGAAAACTAGAACTGTGTCCAAAGGACACGGATGTCCCCACTGTGCAGATATGCTCGTAAACAAGAGCATGCATATCTGTATGTAAGATTTTTATGTGGAACTTTTTCATTCCACTGTTTCATTTCTGTACATATACCTAAAATGATCTACAGGTAACCTTATGTACATGTTAAATTAAATTACAAATGTAAAATTTATAGTTCAATTATTTTATATGGTATATAGTGAAAAAATCAACAAAGGGCCATAATTCAGTTAAATTTGGTCACAGCAAAAATTCCTTCCTTTACTACCATCTACACATTAAAGCTGTTCATCCCTGGAAGTTTAAGAAAAATCTGCCATCCGGTTTAAGAGGAGTTGCGTTCACAAAATTTCTACATGGTATATAGTGAAAAAATTAACAAAGGGCCATAATTCTGTCAAATTTGGTCGCAGCAAAAATTCCTTCCTTTACTTCCATCTACACATTAAAGTTGTTCCTCCCTGGAAGTTTAAGCAAAATCTGCCATCCGGTTTAAGCGGAGTTGGCGTTCACAAAATTTCTATATGGTATATAGTGAAAAAAATCAACAAAGGGCCATAATTCTGTTAAATTTGGTCGCAGCAAAAATTCCTTCCTTTGCTACTCATCTTCACATTAAGGTTGTTCATCCCTGGAAGTTTAAGCAAAAATCTGCCATCCGGTTTAAGAGGAATTGCGTTCACAAAATTTCTACATAGTATATAGTGAAAAAATCAACAAAGGGCCATAATTCTGTTAAATTTAGTCGCAGCGAAAATTCCTTCCTTTACTACCATCTACACATTAAGGATGTTCATCCCTTGTAAGTTTAAGCAAAAATCTGCCATCCGGTTTAAGAGCAGTTGCGTTCACAAGATTTCGGGACGGACGGACGTAGGGACAAGTTCAACGCTATATGCTCCCACTTTGTGGGGGCATAAACAGCAGATTGCATGCCATACAAAGTTACTTCAATAAATGTATTATTATCTCCTTTATTTACTTTAAACATAACACATGTTATACTTAATACTTTATTTCATATAAAAACATCAATTACAGTAATTACTATTACAGGACATGTTGCAAATATCTAAACACACACTTTGATGTCCATCTATTTAACAAAGAGAATTATATACAAAATGTTTTAAAAATTCAAATCAAAGTTACTAAAATGCCCCGATTAAATTAATTATCTTCACTTATTTTTTTTTTTCATGATTTCCATAAATTTTTTTATCACATACTAACAATTAAAATCAAAATGATAACATCTTTATCCCTTTACGCTTTGCCAGCTAATTTTCTTACATCGACTTGTTCAACTTAAATTTTTGGAACAGCTCATAATCGTTTTTTAGGGATGAAAAAAATTTGGGGCTATTCCCCCTTTGTTTTCAAGAAAAGGGTTATGAAAAAACAAAAAAACTTAAAAATGCCCTAAATGTTTTCCTAGTTCACAAACCAATCAGAAATAAAATCCCCACTCCAAACCTTCCTAATGAAAAAATTAAGTAAAAATTTTTAAAAAAAACTATTAATGTTTTTCCCCCAAATTCAATTTAATTAATTTAAATTTTCAACCCCATATTTAATTTTATTGCAAAAACAACTTTCCCAAAAAAATCTTCCAATTCAAGAAAGATTCACCCATATTCATTTTTTTTCCCCCAGGGTTCATTTAAAATTGGGGTTAAACTTTTAAATTTGACTAAAAAGAAAGGAATTTTTCCCAAAAAAAGTTTAAAAAATTTAAAATAAAATGCCCCACTTGGGAACGCAATTTAAAAAAAAGAATCTAAAAATAAATTTTTTAAAATAATTAAACGCTGAAAAAATAAAATTTATCAGCTTTTAATCGGGAAAAAATCAACTTTGCACAGAAAACATCATCAAATCATTCCGTTTTTAAATGTTTTAAACACGGGATGAAGGGGACACCATTTCCCCCAATTGGGAATATTACACAAACCAAATAATATTAGATGTTTTTTCTCCCATAGATTAGGCCCTATATATATATTGATAAAAAATCTCTTGAAAAATAGGTCATTTTGTAGGGGAAACGGTGTCCAAAAACGTGTAAAGTACAATTGAATGATTGATACCCTTGGGCTCTTAAATGAGTCTTTCATTTTAAAACTTGTTCCGGAATTTTAAAAAACTTTGAAAAATTTTTCAATAAAAAAGCCCATATCCGCGGACTAGTTGACAAACAGTATAATAATGATATTCCAAGTCCTACAGCACCACCTTTACGCAGTCCTTTTAATCCCCCTAGAAGAAGAAACAGAATTTATTTATGTACAAAGGCAAAAATTTTATTATTTGTGATTTTTAACATTGAAAGCACAATAGAATTGTCATAAAAAAACAACAACATTATCTACTACAGGATTTCAAAGAAATGGTCTTTTTTCTTAACTAAAAAAAAATTTACGAGCCATAGTTCTGCTATCATATAATGAACAAATCACAAAACACCCCAAAAAATGTGCATGAGGGAAATTAGTAACAATAATAGGGAGAAAGTTTGGTTGAAATCAGTTGAGAAAGGAAGGAAGTGAAGAAGGACAAAGAAGAAAATGTTTACATGCACCAACCTTATTACCAGTTAATTTACACAGGAACAGTTTGGAAAATGTACATGGAAATGTTCCTATAATGCATCATGCATACATCAAAAAAAATTTTATTTTTTTCTATAAATTTTGGGAAAAAAAAAATAATAAAAAATTTGGGTAATAAAAAACCTACCTGTACATTTATAAAAAAGCCTGTTGTTTTCAGATTAACGGGAAATTAAAGGGGTTTTTCATATGATTTCCCCAATAATGATAAAGTTGTGTCTTTTGGGAAAACTGACAAAAACGATGAAAAAAAAAAACAAATTTTTGAACATAAACCCAAATTTTAAAAAGTTTAAACAATTATAAAAAACTAATGCTTTAAAAATTAATTAAAACCCCAAATTCAAAATACTCAATTTTTTTAATGTTTATCTTAAAAACAGATTCAATGTAAAAAAAATTACCACGTAAATTTTTTGGGGTAACGGAACCCCGGCCGTTTTTTTCCCCCGTTTCCCCGGGTTTAATTTTTTTTTTTCCCCAATAACTTATTTATTATTTTAAACCTTTTTGATGAGATAAGGCGCAGAGTACCCGTAATTATATCAGTTATCCACGATATATCAAAAATTCTGAAAACCCCTGAATGGTTTTTTTGAGAACATTCGAGTACAGTTTTCTTTTTCATAGCCTGGGCCGAGGGGAAACGGTACACACTAATTTGTCATAACTATAGCAATTTCTAGCAAGTCATATGTTTTTTGACACTATTTCATAGAAACAATAAAATGTTAAATCTGATATATTTACTATGTCCAATGTATCGAGTGAATGCAGTGATGTTTTAGCATATTTTCATAAAGTGATGTTGAAATGATACGGAACACACTGTTATTTCAAAAGATACGGTTCAACACAATTTCTGTCTTTGAAACAATTCTAAATTAAGATATATAAAAAAAAATTTAATTAATTAAATTATAATGTGAGTGATTTTTCATAGTTATACATTATATTATTTAAAACGAGAACCCTGAGACCTGTTTGCAAATTATCATTATGCCTACAGTTTTGATGTAAACAGGATTATTCAAAAAATAAAAAGAACATTTTGAAGGTACGTTGCGCAAAATTCGATTTTTTATATGTTGAGCAATTAATATTTGGGT